TTTGGGTGGAAAACATTTTTTATAATTTGTAGAAATTGAAGCAAACACCTCCTTGTTGGCCTTCTTGTTTTGATGATGTTTAACAAATAATTTACCACTAATGTTGTTTGTCTAGTATTTGTGTTTTCTTATTTATTATAAACAAACAACGTAGTTGGAGGATGGATGGAATAGCGCTTCAACGACGATATCAAATGGAGGTTGGCGGAATTGTGGAGTGAAGTAACATACAATTCAAGTTAAAGATCAAGTTCAAGCTTCATCCGCATGTGTACCAAGTTGAGCTACAATGAAGATCAAGATCAAGCTTGGGTAATCTAGTTTAGATTTTATATTATGTGTGTTAGATACTCTAAGCTCAATATCATATACACACACATTTATTGGTTTCTTCGTATATATATAGTTATATATATATACATAAGTTTTGGTTTCTATGCATATATATAGTTATATATATAATACATGTGTTTTTGAGTTTTCATGTTTATAAATATGAAATCACATGTTTCATATTTATTATTGTGTTTTAGTATGTATCGCATAGAATATGCAATTTTGTAAAAATATTATTTTCTTAGTTTTTGGACTTAACAATAATTATATACATATTTTATTAAGTCTACAAAATCATTGTGTAAAGTTTCAAAACATGGTTTAGCCTAAATGTCAAAATTCACATGTTTACATTTTCGTGTTTTGGACTATTTTTGCAAAATGATGATTTTTCACAAATGGGAAATGCAATTTGGAAAATTATTTTTGTAACATGTTCATTTACATGTTTATATATATTTTCCAAAGTTTTATTATTTTTGGACTTCATTTGTCATTTTTAACAATTTTCCAAAGTCTCAAAAATCAGCTTTTAAAATCCGGTTTTTTGTAGTATCAGTTATCGGTCGACCGCACCGGTCGACCGCTCATATGTTCAGTCGACAGTGGGCGTCGGTCGACCGCACCGGTCGGCCGAGAGCTCGAAATTTCCATCGGTCGACCGCACCGGTCGACCGACGAAGTTCTGCTTGTATTCTCAGTTTCAGATCTGGTTCGCGGTCGACCGCGAATATTTTTGGTCGACCGCCGCTCTGTCAGTTCTGTTTCCAACGGCTATTTTTGTTACCGTTGCTGGGACTGTTTTTGTCATTTGGTTTGGGTTTTTGGCTGAGATTTTGAGTGGGTATAAATACCCCATTGTTGTTCTCTTTCAAGGGATCCAAGAAGTTTTTAAACAAGGGTTTAAGCTTGTTTAGTTTTGGTTTAAGTTTGTTTTGGGTTTGCTGTTATAAAGAGGAGTTTACATCAACTATTGAAGAGTTCATCTTCAACATTTCATCATCCTCTCTTTGTGTTTTTAGAGAAGTTTCCTTAACTCTATTTCCTAGCATTTCTACTATTGTATTTCATATCAATCTTATTGCTAGTTCTTATTGAGTTAAGTTTTTATTTATATCTCATTGTTACACACACCCACTTGAGCTTATTGTATTTGCATACATAGTATAATAGGGTTGTGAGAGATTGTAATATTGAGTTGTGCTTAATTGAGTTCTCATCTATTGCAGAGAACAAACTTATATTTGTTACATTGTGAGTGTTGTAAGGTTTTCGGTGAGCTAGAAAACCGAGTGTGTTGTGAAGTTTGCGGTGAACTAGAAAACCGATTGTGATGAGTGACGTTGATCAGTGAGCATTGAAAACCGACACTGTGAGGTGTAAACGTTATTCAGGTGAGCATAGAAAACCCGGTTGTGATAGTGGATTTCTCCCCGGGAGTGGGGAGCGGAGACGTAGGACGGAAGGTCCGAACTTCGTGATCATATTGCTCATTTATTTCATCTACTATCTTGTTTAGATTATTTACCCTTGTGTTGTTTATATATCATTGCATATATTTCTATCATATAGGATATATCACATTGTTCATATTGCTTATCCTAGCTAATGTATCTTATTGCATTTTATTCTTGCTAGGATATCTTGTTAATATTTTTAATTAGCATTTAACCGGATTAGATTAGCATAAGACCCTAATCACCCCCCCCTCTAGGGTCTAACACTCCTTAGTGCATCAAGAGTTACTGGAGGAGTGTTATGAGTGGGTGTTTGATTTGGAAATTAATGGCAATCAATTGGGAAGTTATGAAAAAGTGTATGTAGCATGGATGTGCATGCAATAGGGAGGTTATGAAAAGTTGAACATGTATGATCTTCATGTATGTATGAATGGATGTGTTGGAGGGTATTTCAGGAAAAAATATTTTAACATGACAATCCACTTTATAGTAGTATTCATAAATGCATGCAAGTTGTCTATATATATATCAAGTTAAATTAGGACCACAAAGGCAATAGTCGATGGCTGGTTTCCTAGATCTAAGTAGGAAGACACCCATCATGTATTGAAAACTATTAGTGTATACAACATGGAAAAAATAGTTCTTTTCCCATATTTGTAGTCTGAAGTTTAGATTAGATTCTTGATCGGTATTTTTATTATTTTTTCTTAAATCAAGTGTCTCTAACCATCATACCAAAACTTTAAAGTTATGATAATTATTGAGTATTATAGTTCTATATTAATTCTAACATTATTCTTCTCATTTTTTTAATGTTTAATAATTTTATATAATCCCTAATACTATGTATGAAACAGTCTTTATCAAATATGGATAACGTGTCAATATGCAAATAGTACCTATACACTATCTATACCAACAATGGCCAAGCCACATATAGAGAAGTGTGGGCAAACGCCCCACCAAAATTATATTGTTCTTGAAATCAAGCTTAAATATCGCCCATGGTGTTAGTTGTTCTTGAAACCTAGGCTTAATGCTACATCCAATGTTAGTTCCTCATAGGTCATGGCTCTGCCACAACATATCAAATGCGATAAGATGCCAATATCCTCGGTGTCAACTCCACATATTACGTGTACCCTTTATATCAACAACAATCCTACATTGGATTATAGGCTTACTTACCAGATTAGTATTCTAGATTGATCATATTTTTAAATATGGTATTTATTTTTGCTTCGGCATTAATATTACATTTTAGCTCGCGTCTTGATGACAAATAAGACCATTTTTCTCGTCAGCGGCAAGAATTTCGGTGAACTATATTTTTTTGAGAAAATTTTTTACATCCCCTTGACCTATCAAAATAATTAAAGTTACATCCATTCTCCTTCATTCTCTCCCAATTCAATTTCTTTCACTCTTTTACCCAATAAGATCCTCCTTTGAGCCCCCTTCTTTCTCATTCAACATCTCCCAATTCAAACTTAACCCCTAATTTAACCCCAACAACCTTGACCCAAATCGATACCAATTTGGAGTCGGGTTTATGTTTGCATTGGGGGGTTTGAAGGAGAAAGAGAGGA